AATTTCCAATACTGGAGACCAGTTTTCAAAGCCTATAAGATGAAAATTCGATTTTGATTTTTGACAACAAATATAAGGCATTTGAAATAGTTCTAAAAACGCACAATTAAAACTTGTATATTATAAACCATCGTACGTCACAAGATATGCCTTCAAGAAGACGGTGTTGGGTGTAATTTATAGTAGAAGTTAAGCGCTATTAAAAACATACTTATGTAATTTTTTTTTATTGAGTTAGTGTATCGACAACTATGATCATTGGCATGGTACAGTCAGGTACCTAGTGTAGTGTGTGTGTAGAGTAATTGTCTTGATACTTAGCAAACTCGACGTCATTGTCTTTGCTAAGAGACGCTAATTGTATCCGAACGTCTGCGGGTCCCTCCGGTGAGTACCGATCACATATGGATAGAAATTATTTTCATTCATTAATTTTTAATAAACGAAAATTTCTCCACCCAGATGGGATTCGAACTCACGACCTTTAGGTTTAAAGGCTCTTACCACTGAGCCACAGAGGGGGGTATTTATGTAATTAAAAAGAGCAGTTTTAAACGTTTTAGATTGTTTGTAATGAAAAAGTATAAATTCAGCATTTTTTAACCTTATTTCAAATGTCTCACATTTTTTGCCAAAACTCAAAATTAAAATTTCATGCTATAAGTTTTAAAGATTAGGTTCTAGTTATAGTGACCGGTCAATGACAGTGATACATTGTAATGATCTCATATAAATCATAAAAAATGATAAAAATCGCGCCACGTTAATTTATGAAAACTGAAATCATTTGTGGCAAAATGTAAAGATTAAGTACACTCTTTACCTCCAAAAAGGCAAACTCACAAAAGTATGCAGACATGTTAGATTCTGAGCTGCTACGTCTTGAACCAAAAGTAAAGAAGTACGAAAAATTTGTAGAAGTACTCAAAAATGTGTCTAGAAAATATATCCCTAGAGGATGTAGATATATGTTACCGGGATGTCCAGCGTCTAAAGAACTAATACGAGAACGTACGAAACCCTCCATTCCACTGACCATTTTAGCTAAGAAACGGTTGATTGCGGAGCAGTACCACTCAAACGGCTAAGTCAAGCCAGACAGTAAAAGTGGATTGAGACCCTGGAAAAAATGGACATGACACATAGTCGCAAAATAGCATGGAACCTTGTAAAAAAACTTAGCGGTGATCCAAAAGAACATAAACCATCTTGCAAGGTTATAGCAAACCAAGTTGCTGCTCAACTCCTTACGAATGGAAGAACTACGTACCGATATAAGGACCCAAATACTAGGAGAAGATTGGATTCGAAGACAAACCACCTAGGAACTCCTTTTACACTAAAAGAACTCCTCGACGGTACGAACAGGTTAAAAAACGGAAAAGCTGCAGATGTGGATGATATATACAGTGATCAAATAAAGCATCTAGTTCAAGGAGCAAAAAAATGGATCTTGCAATTTGATAACATGTGTTGCAAAACCTATGAAATTCCAAAATCATGGATGAAATCTAAAGTAATAGCCTTGTTAAAACCAGGAAAAGACCCAGAAAACCCCAGTAGCTACAGACCTATTTCGCTGTTGTGTCACCTTTTCAAACTATACGAGAGACTCATACTCGCCAGAATAGAAAAAAATGTCGACAAGCACCTCATCCCACAACAAGGAGAATTCGGATCCGACAAATCTTGCACCGGTCAAGTCCTCGCATTAACACAACATTGAAGAGGGCTTTAAATAAAAACTTATAACAGGGACTGCTTTCGTAGATTTGACAGTAGCCTGTGACACAATAAGGCACAAAACATTGTTCCGAAAATTATAAGACACTCTCAATGACCACCATCTGGGAAAAGTCGTATATTCCTTACTGCCAAATAGACGTTTTTTCGTTATGCTGAAGGGTAAAGTAAGTAGGTAGAGAGTTCAAAAAGCAGCATCACACAGGGAAGTGTTTTAGCGCAAATTCTCTTCGATATATACACAAACTTCCCTATGCTGACGATCTTGCAATATTTGCTCAAGGAAATAGTTTTGAAGAAGTGGAGGAGAAACTCGAAACTGCCTTAAGAACAATGACAACGTACTACCTACAGAATTCTCTGAGACTCTATCCTTCCAAAACCCAAGTTTGAGCTTTCCACCTTCAAGCAAAAGAAGCCCAGCGAAAACTCCAAATTGCGTGGAAAGGTAATACATTAGAACACACAAACCAACCTATATATCTTGGAGTAACTCTGGACCGGTCTCTCACCTACAAACAACATTGCATAAAAACGAGAGGGAAAGTAACAACTAGGAACAGCATACCGAAATAAATGGGGCGCACGTCCTGGCGTTTTAAGAACAACGGCACAGGCACTGTGTTTCTCAACTGCTGAATATGCGTGCCCCGTTTGGGGCAGATCTAAACAAGTTAATACTGCGCTAAATGAGACATGTAGGATAGTAAAGGGGTGCACAAAACCAACGCCACTTTTAAATCTATATAAAGCAGCAGGTTTTGCAGAACCCTCAAGCGCAGAGGCGTTGCAGAGCACATAGAGAAAATTAAACAGATTGCGGACCAGCGGTATGCCCCATACAAAGCTCGAATACCACGAAAGCGACTAAAATCTAGGAAAAGCTTCCTTGGAACAGTGCAGGATAAATCACCTGAATATTTTCTTCTTCCCCAGGTTCAATAGATCGGCCAGTCCCTAGACTATAATACGTCGAAAGCTATGAATATAATAAGAACGGGGGTCGCTCCAGTAAAATCAAACATGGCAAAATGGGGAAAAATCGACCAAGATGATGTGAACTGTGACTGTGGAGAAACACAGAATATGGAACATCTTCTTACATGCAGAACTGTCATGGGTGTACCCTCGAAGATTTGTGGCTCGCCAACAAAAATGGAACCGACGTAACCCGATATTGGGCCGAAATTTTATAAATGACATGTCCGAACAAAGTAAGTCTTTACCTTTAAAACCAATCTTGATAATCAAAAGATATTGAATTTTTACTGACGAGCTAATCCAAATTTTATTGAGTATTGATTTCGCTCGCGTAATTGACATTCAAAGTCGCTGATCGCTACAATCGTTGTTTCTGAGAAAACGGTTCATTCTATATACAAAATGCTACTAAACGTTTTTGTTTAAAATTTCCTTAGCTACATTTTTTATTTAAAATATTTTTTCTATGACGTACAGATTCTTGGTAAATCAATTTTTTCCGTTTTCCCCCTCTATGTGAGGGGTTTTAGGGAAAATACCGGAGGTTAAAGTGCTAAACTTTTTTGATTTTTTTTTTTAGCACCCTAAAATTGACATTTTCGGCAAAATTCAACTTGTTCCTAAGATTTTTAGAGGTTCAGTGGTATTTTCGTCTCTGACGACTGGACTAAATATAATAAAAACAGACTAATCGCTGCAATAGTTACTGGTCCCCCACTGTCACAGAGAAAATTGATGCAAAGCAGTCCCTGAATCATTTTCTTGTGGGCCAGGTTTATCGACCAAGTGACCATTGGTCCTTTAGGTCACTTGATTAAAAAATCCGGTCAACGGTTAGTCTATTTATGTTGTATGTCTATGTTTTTAAATCATAGTTTAAATTAAATCTGTAAATAAACAACGTTTCTTATAGGCCTTTTCACATCGAGCAAAAAGACAAAAGAGGAAATCTAATCATTATGAAAAGAAAACCAAAATTCATCAAAGTGGCCTCTTAATATGACGGACATATCCGGAAATGCAAAGGCGCCAAATTTAAATCTTACGACACTTCATAATAATCATACAGTGGTGTAGGGGTTCTAATTTATCTAATGGAATTAGTACAAAGTTTGAAAATTTTAATATAATTATTGTTTTAATTAGGAAAATATTTCATGTTTTTTTATAAGGTCATAAAATAGTAGCTATAAAATATTTTGCAGAATGTGTCTAAGACGAGAAAGTAAATAATAAAGATAATAGTCTAAAAAGTGATAATTGTTAAAAACTTCAATATAAATAAGCTTTTATGTGACAGTTGGGACAAACAATAACATAACCCAACTAAATTTGATTTCTTAAACAAGGAAAGAGACTCTCTTTCCTTGTTTAATGTGGCCTCTCAAAATGGTACTTCCCGTCTAACAATATTTTTGCCCCCACTACCTTTACATTTCCTCTTCTGCCTTTTACTCTATGCCTTTTCATCATGTGACGAGCACATGCTTCGCCGCCGTGTTCTTCGTATAGTTTCGATCAATCACGTATACATAATAATTATACGTCATACGCCATATGTACTTTTACTAAGTTTTAATATATTTTTTACAATATTTCTGACAAGGATTTTTAAAATTTATAAAATATTTTTAAATTATTTAGAGGCTATATCACTCTTGCATACCCCATAACGAATTGCTTCGTTGTTCCTTTTCGTACATATATCAGAATAATAATCGAATAAAAAAATTGATTTGCTAATTGAGGCACTTTTTTCTTTATTTTTGAATGATTTTTTTTAATAACTAGATTTCTGCCATATTTTATCGTACTTGTGTGTTCACATGAACTTTATTGTTAGTTTTATTACTAATCTAATCTATCATGTTTGTTTACAAAAACTGTACGAAAAAAACGGCTGACACTATTTTGTGATAAAAAAACCTATAGACAACGATAATGGCATAGTTATGATCACATTTATGATTAGCAAAATAGCTGAAATGCCAAACATTGGCATAACTATAACATTAACGGCCCAAGTATAAAATCCACAACTCAATTACCAACGATTTTTTCGATGGCGCTATAGTGTGTCAAAAAACAATAAACATATAAAACAAACAAAACTTATATAAAAAATGTTATATTGAGTATCCTTTATACCCATTGACTGTTTTACATTTTCTTTTGTATTAAATCCCATATGTGTAATGCATCTCGGGCATATTTTAATATATGAGGAGTTATTGTACTTTAAGACTCACAACTTTTGGCACAAAATAAACAACACATTATAATTTAGAGTAGGTAACAGTCATTTTAAACCCTGTTTTTGGATCTTCTGCATACCGCACAATTCGAACAAGCCCATCCGGTTGTAAAACTCGGTATTCTCCGTGTAGATCATTACCATCTCTTGACTCCATGTGTGTATGGGAATTTTTCGATAAATCATCGTGAACTCCATACGCAAAGGAGTAGTCAGGTTGGCCCTAATTATATAAAAAAAAACAAAATTTAATTGTTAAATATCATATAAGTGCTTATAGAGTATGTTTCAATTGTAGTGGCGGAAATCTCTAGAAACAGTAAAGCTTCACCCATCAAAGCAGTGACGTTCCAAAAAATACTTATGATTTAAATCAAATTGTTAAAGATAGGTACATACAATTTATTAAACAATGATTAGATTATATTTTTGATACGAATTTTGATACAAATATTGTTTTAACTTTAAAACCTTTATTATTTATATTAATACTCACTTAAACGTCACAAAGTTAAATAGAAGAATATACGAACTTATTGTAATAAAGTAAAAAAATAATAAATACAGGACAGTTTGGAAAACTTATATTCACATAGGTTACATAGGTACATCGTAATTTTAAATTATATTATTCACTTTCATAATCAGATGCACTGTCGTCGTCGCTAGACTTATTTAAATCAATCCTGAATTCTTCAGTAATTACATATATTCAACGTTCACTTTCCAAATACTAATCTTCAACCTTGCCAACATATTCACACACGTTGTTCCATTTATCTACAGTAACTCACTTCCTGTTTCACCAACACTATTACGTCTTCTAACTTAAAATAAACGTTTTGTTTTGCAACTTCATTTTTTATTTGAGCCCAAACCATTTCTATAGGGTTTAAGTCTGGATGATATGGCGGAAGTTTTAGCGAAACATATCCACATTCTTGCAGCACTTTGTCAAATTTGTATTGAATATGATCTTGTTTGTGTCGTTTAATGATTTCATACAATTGCGGTTTTAACATTGACGTTACAAATGATATATTTTTTTTCTGTTAACCAAGGTATCATATCCATTTTTTTTAGAATTATTGGTGGGTGCTTTATTAATTTGTACATTATGATATGAAGCATTATCAGTAACAACAACAGATCCAAGAAGAAAATTGGGGATTAACTGTTCTTTCATCCATTTTTCATAATTTTCTGAATTCATATCATCATGATAATCTCCTGCCTTAGCTCTTGACTTAAAAATTAAAAGGGCATTCTGTATGAAACCCATCTCCCAACCACCATATACGATAACTAACCTACTTAAGCTATTTGGCGTAGTGAGTTCTGCATGTACAAATTTTCATCAACATATACAATTGACTTACCTTCGCTTCTGTAATATTTAATTTTGTCCAAATATTTATTATTAATTTAAACTGTTTGTCTAACTCCCTCAAGTCTGTCTCGGTTGCTTTCCTTTTAGCAAGTATTGTAGCTGGAAATTTTAGTGTCTTATTTGACTCTGCGTTTGTTAATATATTCGCTTGTTGAATGATCCTTTTTACTGTACGTAAAGATACTCTAGTAGCTTCAACCACACGTTGTTTAATACTAGTTCGATTATCTTCAGGAAATAGTATTTGCATATATTTGAATACGTTGTAAACTATTACTTTAGATTTTGGTGTCAATCTGATCTGTTTACTCGTACTACACTTAACCATCTTCATTCTACAAAATAGTTCTAACAGGCGTGGTAGCACCTTTCTTGTTGATACTCGACAACATAATGGGACTAAATTACGAACTCGTTAGAAATCCGGTGACTAGAAATTCTCAAAAATAATTATTTTCAGTTCTTTGTATGTCCTTAAGTCGTTAAGAAGTCATTAATAATGACTTCATAAATACGGTTTTAAGGTTACTGATACTAAATTAGAAATTAACTATTACCAAAGTTTATAGAGTATCAATTGTTAAAGATGGTATTATAACAACCAAAAAGTTTGGTATCTATTAATCAATTTGTGTACAATCAAAATCTATTTATTATTTAAGTGAGTAATAATTTTGTAATTAGTGCGATTTTAAATAACACCGGTCTGCGGCCAAAAAATTGTTTGAAATTTAATAAGTGCTTTTCATACTGTTTTTAACGCTGATTTCTAGAAAATAGTGAAAAACTTTCATCACATACAGTTATGTCACAAATTGATATAATAAAGAGTAATTACGAGAAACCAGCAATATTTTCAAGTCAGCACTTGTTCTTACTGTACCCCCTACCCATACACTTGCTGACTCACTGCGTCCTATTTCGTGTCAGTGACTATCTGTCGCGGTGTCCCTTTCTCCACCATTAACAAGCAGTGAGCCTTTGGAAATGTCTTACAGTTCACAGCAGCTCTTCGCTTGGTGTTGTTTTTATTAGTGCTTTTAAAGTAGTGACTGTTTTTTTGTATTGTGAAGTTATTGTGCTATCTATACACAGGTACAATGGCTATCAGAGGATGTTTAAACTCACCAGAATACTTCTGTTATATTTGCGGTAACTATAGCGTTAAACATCAACAAAGAAACTTTTCCGATTTCGTTCAAAAAGTATATTTTGCTTATTTTGGTATAAAGTTAGGCGACCAAGACAAGCCTCGGATCCCCACATAAAGTTTGTTTAGTATGTGTTGAAGACCTTAGGTAATGGTTTCAAGGTAAACAGTTTTTACCCTGCCCAAAATCATAGTGATAACTGTTATTTTTGTTCCTGCAACGTACGAGGTTTTAATTTGAAGACCAAAAAGGATATTTCTTACCCTAACATTTAATCAGCCATTCACCCTGCTCCTCATGGGCGTAAAGTGCCATACCTCCTCCTCCAGATTCTTTGGATGATATACATGATGATCACCAGCCATTGGATCAACAAGGTGATAGTGAATAAGACAGTGAATGATTTAGAAGAGAATCGGCAGAAGTTTTCGGATCGAGATTGAAAATTAAACACATGTTTGTTCCGAAAACATCCTTTTTTTGGTATGAATCTAGGAAAATATTTGTATTTTTCTTCTCCCAAGAAGATGACCTGGTGTTTTGCAGTGATGTTCCTGGACTTATGACACATTTCAAACTAAAATATGCTCCTGATAAGTGGAGACTTTTGATTTATCTTCAATAAGAAGCCTTAAAGCAGTACTTCTACACAATGGTAATAAGTATGCTTCTATTCCAGTTAGAAACTCGGTTTACTAGAAAAAATAATACGAAAACCTTAAACTCGTTTTAAGCCAACTGTGCTATTTAGACCACAAATGGAGACTATGTTCTGATTTAAAAGTGATTTAAATGCTGCTTAGTCAATAGAGTTCCTATACAAAGTTCACTTGGTTTCTCTGTGAATGGGACAGTCAAGACAGAAAGCAACACCACATAAAAAAGTTTGGCCCTTGAGAGAAATCTTACAAGTAGTCGTTATAATGTTGAGGAGAGGAAGAGCGTTGTGGATCCCAAAAAGGTGTTATTTTCACCACTTCAGATTAAGTTGAAGCTGACAAAACAATTTGTCAAGGCATTGACTAAAGAAAAGAAGTGATCTATCATTTAAAAACTAATGACAGATCACTTCCACCCCTTTACATTAAGTTGAGGCTGATAAAACAATTTGTCAAGGCATTGACCAAAGAAGGGGAGTGTTTTAGATATCTTTGTGGACAGTTTCCTGGTTTATTCGCGCCAAAGCTAAAGAAAGAAATCTGTCAATAAAAAACTAATGACAGATCCCAACTTTGTAGACAAAATGGAAACAAATGAACAGGCAGCAAGTACACCTTTTAAGTTAGTTTGCATTGGCTTCTTAGGTAAAAAAATATATCCAAACTAGAAAACAACCGTCGCAGACATGATTGACAACTTTAAGAAGCTGCTCTGTAACATGAGCATTAAACTTCACTTTTCCCACTCACATCTTGATACTTCTCGCAAACCTTGGTGAAGTCTGTAAAGAGAAAGATTTCACCAAGGTATCAAAGAAGTGAAAAAAAAAACATACCAAGGAAATAGAACGTAAGCAAATACTGCTGGATTATGAAAAGAGTCCACAACCAGAAAAGCAATAACAGAATCTTTGACAACAAGCGACAGCGTTATTATAAGGACATAAGAACTTAAAGAGAAATATAATTGTAATGGAAATTAGTTTAGAACATTATTAATAAATAAACTTAATTTGATAACGTATGAAAAGGTGAAAAATTGCTTATTTTGTTACTATACCCAAACAGACTCCCTAGTTTGTGAAAAAACCTGACGTGATCAACAAAAATGGTTTGCATTTTTGAAATCAACGCAAAAAAGTACATAAAAGTCAGTTATCAAATGTCAAACAACTTTCAATAAATATTTTTTTGCAGGCCTGTGTAATTTAATTTGTTTAATATTGCAACGCCACTGCATGGGTCTGATCATAGATATTCTATTATCTGTGCTATCTGTGCGATTAACATTTCGTGGAAGGGCTGTATGATAATAATATATAGGAATGAATGATATATTTTAACACAAGAACAGTTAAAGCGAAAAATACGCCATATACCTACAGCCTCTCACCTAGACCAGGTTTGCATAAAAGTCAAAAACATGCTAAAAATTTAACATTTAAAACATTTAAGACTTTTAAAACTTTCTTGAATATTATTTGGAGGTTCGAGGGCAATTTAGTATATATTAAAGAATGAGTTTATTTAGAAAAACTAGATTATCTTCAGTAAAAATTTTCAGTATCTACTTAGTCTAGTAATCAAGAAAAATACAAAAGATTTTACACTGATAAATAAACTTACTTAAATTTTATTTGAAAACTACATATGTCCATTTTTTGCAAATTTGACTTTATATGTTGTTCGCATAGAATAGTAGTTTCTTTACGGATCTCACACATTCAGTTGTGTAAAAATCCCAGATATCCGGAGTAACCTACATAGAATATTCTTATATTTTTAGAAAAACAAGAGATGTTTATGCTGTTTGTTGTAAAAGCAACGCTTGTCTCCTTGTTCAATCACAAATTAGTCCATTTATTTTTAATCTCACATTAATCCTAATTTCCTGAATTTGCAGGTATAGTTTCACCGTGTGAAATTGTGAAAAATCAATTGTGAAACACATCGATTAGTAGCTTAATTACAGTTTGTTCAACTTCCTGCAAACTATAGATTGCCTAATATTCATTAAGGAAATGCCTGCAATCATTTCCTCGATTCAAATTATATTTGGCAGCTTGTAAAGTCAAAAGTTTCTATGCATAGGGCAATAAACACTATTTTGATGATTCATAGCATGTCAGTGAGATTATAAAAAATAGTAGCTTAGTTTGGGACTAAGTCTATTATAAATTTTTACCTCAACAACAACTAGAGTGTAATCATTCAGTAGCTGCCAATAAGACTATATTTTACTCCACGACTTCAACATTTTATTCTATCATCGTCAATCGGACAAAGGAATTTAGAAACAATTCGAATTTATACCTAAGTTCGAATTTGTTCACCCATCTTATTCAACGGTAATCGCTAAGCGTGAATGATCTTGTCCGTAAATTTACCAGTTGTATGCGTTCCTTGTTAAGAACAGGTGATGTTGGTTTCTTTTGTATAAGAAAAATAGTTCAGCATAGCGGAAACTGTTCAATACAATAACTTAATATAGATGATAGCATTTGTGAAATTTGAACTGCAGATCAACCACGAGAACGGAAAAGAAAAGTTTCTTAACGAAGGGAAACCATAAGGCAGCTAAAATACATAGAGTTGCTTATAAAATGCAGGAGGTTATAGGGATGTTTTAGCCAAACAACAGGAAATAACTGTAGGTAAGTTTTTCGATAATAACAACTGGTTTTCTCAATGCTCATGACTTCAATCTTGGTTGTAGGTATAAACGTTACCGATGCTTCTATAAAAGTAACACAGGAACAACGTTCTGACTTACTGAATATGTTTAATAACATGATGAACAAAGATGAGCAGGATTTATATTTATCAAGCCTCATTAGCGTTACTTCTATCCAGAGACGACGTAAGTCGTATTCCACAAGCTGCTTTACCTAACCACAGTACTACTAGTGACAGTGGAAATAAAGATACAAACAAAGCTGGACATCAACAAGGTCCACCATATATAGCTTCTTTTATGTATAAAATTCGACTATCGGGAAAAGATGTAAGCATTTGTGCCAAAAAACTTCGTACTATTTTCGGTGTTACTGAAAAACAGATCCACCGAATTAGAAATAGCTTAGCAATTAGTGGATGTTCTCCAAAAGATGCCCGGGGCAAACATACCAATAGGCTTTAGAAGACAGATCCTGCTAATATACAAAACATAATAGATCAGATTCAGCCTGGTCGACACTAAAACCCCTTTCTGATAGCGCAGTTTTGAAAAGTTCTACTAAGGTAAGGAGATACAGCGCGAAAACCCTTTGCACTGCTTATTCCAAGATGGCGAGGAATCAAGAACCCAGAGAAATTAATAAAATTAAACAAATTCGGGTTGAAAATTATTGTATTATATTACAAAAAAAAAGTTGAAAGACCCCAAAAAATATTGTTCTTGTTAATAATTTTTTTATTTTCCATTTTACGAGTAAAAACAATAGAAATAAAGTTTAAGGTAATTATTGCAGAAATTAAGTTACACTTTTTGGTTTGAATCAGAATCAGCTAGAACGGATGACAAAAGGTATTCAGAATTAGTATCATACTTATTATAATCATCTTAATACAATTTATTAAAGAAAACTGAACTTACCCTGTAATCTATGCTCTGAGAACCTGCTTGTAACTGATTTGAATTGGGTACCAAATATGGTTGAACGTTTTTACTGAGAGGCCCATTAAGTTTATGAAACGAAAAACTATCATCACCTTTTCTAGGACTATGAATAGGATGAAAATGTGGAACTGTCGCAGATATTCTATTTTGTACATTAGAAACACCTGGTGGGTGATAAGAAAAGATGTCTACTTGTTTTTCTGGATTATGTGACTCTGGTTTAGAATTTTCTGTTTCCTCCTCGGGATTATTAAATTTCTGAGGCGAACTTTCTTCGTCGTCTTCTTTCTGGTTACTACTCGAGTCATCTGTTGCATCTTCGCTTTCTTCTTCACTTTCAGACTCTTCTGCCCAAACTAAATCGTTTATAATAAGCAAAGATGCAATCTAAAAATAGAGTTTAATATAATATTGTAACAAAATTATTATTATTTTAATTATTTTTATTATTATATTAAAATTATTATAAACTATTTTATGTTACTATTATAATAAATATTAAGAAAAGTATTGAGATATACAGCCACAAAATCGGAGTGTAGTTCGATGTTGTTGCTGTATGATTGATGATTATCAAAAATACTTATTGTCTATCGGACAGAATATGATGAAATACATAACTTTATAAATGTCCGAACTGCAGTCCTTGCTGTATTTGACAGTAACCCAAACGTTGTACAAATTCTTGTTGAACCTTGTTTATTGTGTCTTGAGAAATATTGTTTATTGCTGTCAAAATTCGCTACTGTAATTCTTGAATATTTGCTGGTTTCGTTTGGTACACAACATTCTTCAGATGGCCACACGTAAAATAATCCAAAGGATTGAAATCTGGTGACCTCGCTGGCCATTCAATAGGTCCACGTCTACCAATCCACCTGTTCAGAAAAATTTCATCTAGGTACCTCCTAACATCTACAGCATAATGTGAAATCATAAACTTTCATCAAAACCTCCAGTTGCAACCATAAACCATCCTCCATCCGGTTGAAACCATAAACTTTCACCAAAACCTCCAGGATTACGTCTGCTGGGAAACAAATTACGTAAAGTAGGTACGAAATACCCCTTAAAAACTCAAGGTACGTTGCCTCGTTTAAATTACCTTGGATAAAGTAGGGTCCGATGATTTGATTTTTTACAATTGCAGCCCATACATTTACCTTTTGGGAGTATTGTGTATAATGCTCACGCATACAGTGAGGGTTTTCTTTTGCCCAGTATCTACAATTCTGACGGTTAACCTCGCCATTTAACGTGAAAGTGGCCTCATCAGAAAAAATAATGTTTTGTACCAAAAGAGGGTCTCGGTGGCAGTTATCCATCATTGCTTCGCAAAATTACATTCTTCTATCGGGATCAGCTTCGTTTAATTCCTGCACAAGTTTGATTTTAATAAGGATGTCATTTTTCAAGCTTTAATAGTTTGTGTACCGTTGTTTTGCTAACACCGATATCGCAACTAACTTTACGCACATAAGTGTGCGCATCTTCTTCAGAACTATTGTTCTGAAGCTATTTTCTTGTGGCATTGTAAATTAATTACTATTTAACTGGGAATAACCCACAATTAAAGATAAAAATACGTTTATTGACGTTTCAATTTCCACTTCGGAAATCGTTCTCAAAATACAAACAGTAAAGTAAACAAATTTTGTTTTTTGTTACATAGTGAAAAATTCTTCTAATAATTTAATTTTATCTGACTCATTTATTTTGACAATTCAGACATACATTATGCATTTTAAAGTAGACGACTTTAAAATGATATTGCCAATATTGTTGAGTTGCCCTTATATTAAAATAGAGAATTTGATAGATCTCAAATATGTAAACACCTATGGGATAATGAACATAGGGTTTAATGGAATAATTCAGATGGAGTCCTAAAAGAAACGGATGGTAAAAAAAGAAAAATCAAAGAAGCGGCTCTAATTATGCTAAATGAGGCCAATTGTGTCGCAAATTTCTAGGCAGAATGTAGTAGGATCTGGTTACCAATATTGATGTTTGTTGAATAAAATCAGAATTTTGATGTTTGTTGAAGGTAAACTAAATTCACGAACAAATACTTACAATGTCGGGATAGTAATATGAGGTTTTTCTCCTGGTTTTTCCCTCATAATTTACTATGGAATCACTAACAGGAGAATTTTACTGTCATCATATCATGTGTTTGTCTTTTTAAAGACGAATTACATGCTATGATTTTTTTTCTGACGGATATTCTCAAGTTAAAGTTGATTTCATGTAATCGAATGAACTATCTTATAAGTAAAGTCGTCCCAGGAGCGCAACTCAGCAATATTGGCAATATCATTTTAAAGTGGTCTACTTTACAATGCATAATATATGTCTGAATTGTCAATATAAATGAGCCAGATAAAATTAAATTATTAGAAGAATTTTTCACTATGTAACAAAAAACAAAATTTGTTTAATTTACTGTTTGTATTTTGAGAACGATTTCCGAAGTGGAAATTGAAACGTCAATAAACGTATTTTTATCTTTAATTGTGGCTTATTCCCAGTTAAAAAGTAATTAATTCTTCAAAACTAAGTAAAACATCTAATGATGTATCAGCATTTTGCAGAGGGACGACCTGATTTCCGTGCATTTTCAACCGTACCAGTTTCTCGAAATTTCTTTACAATCTTACTGACTGTTGAACGCGTTATAGGTCTTTCTGGATATTTATCATTAAACAAATTGCACACTTCCATCTGAGTTCGCGATCTGTCTCCATACCCAATCATCATAAGTATTCCAAATCTTTGCTCTACACTTAACTTCATTTCTACTTCAAATTAAATCTAAGCAATAATTAAAACATTCATAAATACCAAAAGTATTGTAGTACTAAAGTGTCACTGAACATCAATAAATTACTAAACAAATAATGACATTTAACAAAAACATAGCCTTCTATGTTTCTTTGTTTGAAATTGATAAGAAATAATTTCTTTCATATTCTGCCTGTTAACCAATAAGTATTTTTGATATTGTTAATTTAACTAACGCGTTACTTTATGAGCACATACAAAACTATTGTATTTTTGTCCGCCCTGTACCAATTTGAATCAACATGTGATACATTTTTGGAATCAGCTCAGCTAGAGTAATCCGAAAATTAAGACAAAATGAGGGTGTTCCATTTAAAAAAATGACGGTGTCGTCATTACTCGAAAGTAATTCACCTTGTATATTAGAATATTATTTTAAAATACGGTAAATTAAAATCAAAAATCAGGATTATTTCTTAAAATGCTCTGTTTAGCTAAAAAAGAATTTGTTCCATATTTTACGGACACAGTGTATATTTATTATATTCATAAGTGCAATTCCTACAAGCTTTAAGAGAAATGCATGAAGTTAATATGTGCTTCCAGTTACATCACATGAGTCTCAAACATTATCGCTAATTGAAAAACTCAAATAAACTAGGAGTAACGTAAACGAAAAATAGAAATATCAAAATTGGGAATTAAAATTATGGACCAAATTATTGAAATTATAAAAGAGGACGGAGATCGACAGATAATAGAATATATTTGGATAGGCCAATAGAACATATTATTGTATTTGAATACAACTTGTGTAAAATAAAAGTTCCTGGAGGACAGTGTATACGCGAGAAGCTAAAGGATAATGATGATGATGATGATATCAGTAAAACGTGGACATTACAATATCTTATATGATCGTAGTTTTTTAAAAATATTTTAAATTATATTCACTCAAATTGACACTTTTTACAAAAAGAAAACACAACACTTGACGAAACACTTACAAAAATCACAGTAGTTACTTTCATGTTGACGTTAGAGATGTGGTCCACTTACTGACTATTTTAAATGCACCATACCAACTTTATATAAAAAATTTATGTAATGTTTTCCGGAAAGAAACGAATTTACCACTCCAATAGAGTTTTCGAAATTATGAAAAACAAAATAAATCGAAGACCACGTTATCTAATGTATGAGGGAACGTGCAGCGATGGTCCATAATTTCATAATGGAACTAATAATAAAGAAAACCACATAGCTTAGAGATGTAGTGAAGCGAGAAAATAGTACTAGTTTGTTTCAGTATATTCATCAGTAAGTTGCTCGAATTTGCTTAAATGTTAGATAATTTTTTGTTCGTTAGAGTTACTCGAATGTAAAATTAAATTGGTGGTTTTTGAGAATTATACCAGGATTATCAAATAGTTATATTATTAAAATTAGTTTGTAGATATGAAGGGCTCGCAAATTAGCTAGAGAGTTGGTTCTATATTATTTATACAGGGTATGTCACGACGGGTATCCATCACCGACGGGACATTCACCAAGGGTATATCAGGCAGTCTTTGAAAATTATACAGGTATACGCGCCAACAAGTTCATATACAGATGAAGACATTGAAAACTTCTACGAAGAACTAACACTCGCTATGGAAGAAAATAAAAATAAATTGACGCTAATAATTGGAGACTTCAATGCCAAATTAGGGGGAAGAATAGATGGAGAAGAATACAGAATTGGAGAGTATGGATATGGCAAAAGAAATAATAGAGGACACACATTATTGAACTACTTGGAGGAAAGACAACTTTTTGCTATGAACTCGTTTTTTAACAAAAAACCACAAAGAAAATGGACATGGATAAGTCCCAACGGTAATACAAGAGACGAAATAGATTACATCCTTACAACACAAAAAACCATCACCAAAGATGTTACAGTACTGAACCGCTTCTCAACCGGTAGCGATGATAGACTTGTCAGATCCAAACTCAGGATTAATAGCCAATTCGAAATAAAAAAGAAAATGGAAAATGTATCGAAACTAGATATGGAAAAACTTAAACAATCAAAAGACGAATATAAACAAAAAATAAAGGAAAGATATCGATGAAATAAATCAGCTATTAACCGATACATTAGCAAAGGCGGGAAAAGAGGTAGCACAAACAAGAATAAAAAAGGAAAACTATGTATCCCAGGAAACAAAAAATCTCATGAGTAAAAGAAAAACATTACTGGAAAAAGACAAGAGAAACACAGTAGATTACAAAGAGGTAAACAAAGCTATCAGAACGAATATCAAGGAATATAAAACGAGCGTACAGGAAGAAAAAATAGAAAAAGCAATTGAACAAAATAAAAACATGAAGTGCTTAAAACCACAGCTTGGAACCATACAAATTAATGGTATAAAGAACAAAGAAGGTACAGAGACCAATAATATAGAAGAAATCATACAGATAACACAAGAATATTATAAAAACCTCTACAATACAAAACAGAAACCAACCCAAGAAATCCTTAAGCAACTACAAATAAAAATAAAAAATGTTAATTCCGACTTACAACCAGAAATCAGTAAGAACGAGATAAGAAGAGCACTCAAAGAGATGAAGAATAATAAATCGCCAGGAAAAGACAGGGTGACTGTAGAAATGCTAAAACATGGTGGGAAAACAACTAGAGAAGTTTTGTACATACTTATGAATAAAATACTAATGACAAAACAAATATCCAACGGTTGGAACGAAGCAATAACACTGTTACTATTTAAGAAAGGAGATAAAAAGGATCTAAAGAATTACAGACCCATAACTTTACTTTTACTTTTAAATGTGATGTACAAACTATTAACCAAAATATTAACAAATAGATTAACAACTAAATTAGATGGATACCAGGCAAGAGAACAAGCCGGATTTAGAAAGAGCTTCAGTACAAGTGACCAACTTTTAACGATGAAGATTTTAATCTAAAAAACTAACGAATATCATATCCCGCTATACATGGCATTTATTGACTTCGAGAAGGCATTTGATAGTGTGAAACACTTTGCAGTACATAATTTCCTACAAAACAGCAGAATAGACTACCGATATACTGACTTAATTAAAAATATATACAACAAGGCAACAACAACTATTAAGCTAATGAGGCAAACGGAGCCTATGAAAATAAACCGAGGAGTAAGACAAGGAGAAACCATCTCGCCCAAGCTATTCAACCAAGCGCTAGAAGATGTTTTCAAACGACTACACTGGGATGGCTTGGGAATTAACATAAACTGATGATATTGTATTATTAACAGAAAAAAGTGAAGAATTACAAAGAATGATGGAAGAATTAGATAGAGAATCGACAAAAATTGGACTCGAGATCAATTACAGTAAAACAGAAACCATGACTAATCAACCACAAGAACTAATAATTACAGTGGCACAAACAAGAATAGAACAAGTAAAAGAGTATATATATCTAGGCCAAATCATTAAATTAAATAAAGAAAATCAAACCGAAGAAATAAAGGGAAGAATAAGATTGGCCTGGGCATCATTCGGAAAACTGTCTTATATTCTAGAGAATTCAAAATACCCCCAATACCTAAAAACGAGAGTCTTCAATCAATGTATACTCCCTGTCATCACATATGGCTCTCAGACATAAACGTTTACAAAGGAAAATATGGAAAAAATAGCAAAGACAGAAAGATCCATGGAAAGACAAATGCTAAACATTAAACTATCAGACAGAAAAAAAAAACGAATGGATCCGTAATAAAACAAAAGTGACAGATGTCTCAACCCAAGTAGCAAAGCTTAAATGGAAGTTCGTCGGACACACCCTAAGGCAGAAAGATGAAAGATGGACTAAGACAATTATACATTGGAGACCATGGAATTAAAAACGAAAAAGGGGAAGCCACAAATGCGATGGTCAGCTGACCTGAAGAAATACGCCGGGTCAAAATGGGTGCAAATTGCCCAAGATAGAGAGGCATGGAAGAAGGAGGAGGAGGCCTATATCCAAGGATGGATGTTTAGGGCTGTATAGATAGATAGATGTCACGACGAGCTTACACTATCTATATACTTAGGGAAAGGTGGTACACAGTGAGACAAAAAATGAATTTTTGACGATTAAATTTATAAGAACTGACAGCTTCAACCACAATCTTTTTTGGAATTTTATTTATCACTTGCACAAAAAAGGAAGACCTGTATTTTTAATTCAAAAAAGATACTTAAAGTATTACTTTAAAAACAACCTTGCACATGTCTCAGTGTGCACCACCTCTGGTACACATTGAGACATGTTACTAGAACACGGTGAGACACATTCTATATTTATTTATTTATTTATTGACGGGTTAAACCCTTTTTCAGTTTTTGTAGAATATGTATAAAACACAGTAAGATACATAAGTTAGCTACAACAGTTTTTTAACATGTTTTTAAAATTATGCAGTTGAAGTATTAACTAATTCTAAATCTGTTTTCCTAGAAATAACTTCATTACGTCCATAATTAGAAGAATGGAAATTCTACTAATTATGGACAAAAAACAGGTCAGAACTATGGGTTCTTCGCATAGGTGTATTAAATGAGATAAACCCAAAATTTCAGGACAATTCATAAATTCAGCATATATAGAAGCTTATGTAAAAAATGTAATTCCAATTCAGCTCTTCTTGTCTCTAATTTGTTCATTTTAAGTTGATTAAGAATATAACTGTAATTATAATCCCCACGTCTTAAACCCATTTGATAACCACATATTTTAAAAAATCTGTTTTGAACTTTTTCTAATTGGATTTTCTGGGTATTATAAAAAGGACACCATATAATATAGCAGTATTCTATAACTGATCGCACTAGTGAACAGAATAAAATTTTAAACGTAAAAATTGAAAAGTCCTTTGAATTTTTCTGGATAAATCCTAACATTTAAGGCCACGTGAAATTATGTCATTAATATGATCATTAAAGTTCAGTTTTCTATCCAGTGTTATACCCAAATTCCATACCTGACGTATCTCATGCAGAACAGTAGGTACCATTAAGTGTGTAATTATTATTAAAAGAAGCCTACGTTTACTAAACGTGATTTTCAAACATTTTTTATATTTAAGTTTAAAACATTTACTTCACACCAACGTGAAAAATTATTTAAGGATAACTGCAAACATTCACAATCAGAGAGGTAAGCAATAGATCTGAAGATTTTTATGTCATCAGCCAATAAGAGAAATTGTTCGGAGTTAATTACTGTTTGTAAATCGTTAACAAATATATTAAAAAGCAGTGGACCCAAATGAAAACCTTGTGGAACACCTGATGTTATATGAATTGGTTTTGACAAAAAACTACCATATTTAACCACTTGAGAACGATTACACAAATAATGTTTAATCCAATTTGAGATATTATCGCTAATGCCATAGCCACAAAGTTTGGCAATCAAGATCTCATGATTGACTTTATCAAAAGCTTTTGAGAAATCAGCATAGATTGAATCAACCTGAAAACCAGACTCCAACGAGTTAATGATAAAATTTGTATAATACACGAGATTTGTATCTCTGGATTTACCTTGGCTAAACCGTGTTGTTCACCAATTATTATGTTTTTACAATCAAAACTTAACATTCTATTTACAAAAAAATCTAATAGTTTTGGTAACTCGGACTGTATACAAACTGCACGGTAATTTTCAAATGGTGTATTGGTTCTGCCAAAGTGTATACACATTTTTTAAAAAAATACAATGGAACTTCGTCAGGTCCCTTGGTAAGTTTCCACGGGCTACCCAGAATCTCATCAATTATTTCCTTAATGTCAACAACATAACTGCTTACATTCGCAGATTTCTCAAATTTAAAAATAGGAATTTGATTAACTACAACATCATTGTAGAGTTGAAAAAAAGTTCGCAAAAATATCAACGATTTCTTGACTATTTTCCCCAGTATAATCATCATACTTAATAACTAATGGTAACGTATGTGAATTTCTTTTACTATTT